TTTAGTTGGCCATTATTGTCTATAATCAGTAAACAACCCAAATATGAAACAGATGTTGTGGACTCCGTGTTGTCTTTTATTTCGAATTCACTGGGATATATCGAGACAACTTATGAATGAAAGTAATTATTGTTAATAGATAAAACGTCGTTGATATATCTGAATGATGAGTTAAAGCCCACAGCAGTATTTTTCTTGTTCTCGTTTAGAAGTATTTGAATAAAGTCTGCTTCATACAATGAAAAAAAACAGGTCTCTTAATAAAGGAGCACAAATAGGTCCCATCGAAATTTCAACAGACTGTTGGAAAACATGGTCTCCAAAGACTACAAAGATCTTGTGAAAGAGAAACTAAGGCATATTTTTAACATCAACATCAGAGTACTTGTTTGTAGAATCAGGCTGGTTTTTTTTTTTTTTTTTTTTTTTTTTTTTACATTTTAATTGTATAATGACTAGTCACGAAACAGGAAAATTCTCAAATTCCATTCTTTGCAGAAGCCGTTCTATGATATCAAAACACATAATCTTCACTTTATCGTAAGGAATGGCTATATAAAGTGTTGAAAAATCATACGTTTTGGTCTTACTGACTTTGGGAAAAATTGTAATTTAAAATGTTTTAAAAATGTAAAAGTTTGTCAGAGATTTTAAAGGTGCTTAGACACAGATTTGAACTTAATATTTTCTCAAATTTTCTGTATAATATCACGATTTATATATTGCAATAACATTTCACACGAAAATATAATTAAAAACTTATTTTATCTGAAAATTATTGGAACTACGAATTCCGGGACGCGTTTGATTAACACATCTTTGCACTTACACAAATTTTAACTTTATCCTTAATATTTCAGAAAAGAAGCGATTTTTTTAATGCATAAATGAAAAAATATTACATCTATAATCCAGAAAATTCAGAGTAAAAATGTTCGAAAGCAAAACCATCTCACCAGTATTGTCAGTCCGTGCTCTATGATGTGTACAGAGTTTAACAAATTGAACACACCCGTGAAACGTAAACTGTTTTTGTAAACAGAGCACGAGCTCTGTTATTGTTAATGTATACGATTCACCGGATGTGTTCAATTGTTAAACTCTGCACACACCACTGAGCACGGACTTACAATACTGTGAGTGGATTTTGCTTTCGAACATTTCTACTCTGAATTTTCTGGGTTATAGTTTTAATATTTTTCATTAATACGCAATAAAATTGCCACTTTTCTTAAGTATTAAGAATAAAATTAAAATATGTGGAAGCACAAGGATGTGTCAATCCAACGCGTCCAGAAAATAGAAGTTTTAATAACTTCGAGATGAAATAAGATTTTTATTATATTTTAGTATGAAATGCTATAGCAACATACAAGTCATAAAATTAACAGAAAATTTGAAAAAAATATTAACTTCAAATCTGTGTCCAAGCACCTTTAAAATCCATAATCTTTATGATTTACACAATTTCGTGGATATGTTGAAGCATAGTGCGTCTTAAGTTTCTCCTTCACAACAGTTTATATTTTTGTGAGAGGTAAAACATGTAAAAACAAGGGATTGGTAGAGCATTTGCTGGGACCTGCATGTATCTCATTTGTAAGGACTTTCCTGAAGTTTAAGAATCCAAGATAGATAGGATAAATCGAATTCACTTTAGTTGACTGGAATGTTAAGACCATTAAATTTAAAGACTGAAGCGTGTTTCTGAGGAATTTCATCGTAAGAGAGTGAACCTGAGTATAAGTTGGATTTCCGAAAAAAGAATTAAATCAATTAGTAAGAAGATCGCTAACTAGATGTCCTTCCTATGTGTAGTTAATTCAAAGTTATGCATGGATGTGAGTTCTGCTGTTTTACAAACTACAAGGGTTGTTCGGAAATTTCGCGGACTACTGTTATAACTTTTTTACTTAACGTCATATCATGTCCAAATTTGGTAGTAATGTTTCAACAAAATGTTCAAATGACGTGTATAAAAAAATTAAAAATATCGTGATTTATTTCAAACTTATTTAGAGTTAAAAAAAATGCGAAAATCGGATCGCTGCACAGGTCAAAATTTCGTAATTGACAATCAATGCACTAAATAATGTCTGTAGTCATATCCTCTGTAAGATGGCGCAAAAACAGAAAAAATCCTAGACGTTCAAATTAAGAACTGTTACATCGTTTCATATTCCAAATTATGACTTAATATTTTGCTTCGTTCAAAAGAAAATGTTTTGTGTTGTACTATGGAAACCTCAAGAAAAAATGCTGGAGGAAGTAGGAATTATGTCAAAAGCGAGCCATGCATGTATGTGTGCATGGGATAGGCAGTATTTGAATGATAGAAACTCTGTATCAGACGAGGGCGATCTGTTAGGAAACGGATTATCTGTAAAAATCTGTTCAAAAACTTTAAAAAGTTAGTAAGGTCATGGTGAGAGTTAGGCGCTTCACAGTTGCTGATCTTGTGAAAGCACATTTATGCAATAAAATAAATATAACGTTGACAAAAAAATTATGCTACTGGAACAAATGTTAGCAAAATAAATCTCAAGCGATAAAGAAACTTTTTAGCAAGTGCACTGATATTGGGCCATACTGAAATGTATAGGGAGAGTATTTTTGAGAACCTCATGACGCTATGTTTTTGACGTTACAATATTGTTGAGTTTGCTCCGTGGTTACCAAATATGTTTATTTTAAAGTTTAAAAACAAAACATGACTTCTATTAAATCACATGGAATGAAACTTCGCACATCAACAAAATAAATATTTTAACATATGACAATGTGCTCATTTTAAATTTCTTGAAGATAGTATAACGAAGATTAACATGGTCCGCGAATTTTCCGAACAACCCTCGTATATCGCAAATTGATAAAATATAGGTATCAAATACATATAGGTACATTGTGTAAATACCTTAAAACTGGTAATTGTTGTCGTACAATTTTGCTGTTCTATATCGTACATGTATGTATATGTGTATATACAGCTGTAAAAAGAATTCTAACACATCTTGTCCCAATTTTGGAAAAAAATAAACTTATGCATTTTTATCCTAGGTGGCAGTTAATAATGAGCTGTATATATCATAATAGACACCTGAAAGAGTGTGGGGGGGGGGGAGGGGCGATAAAAGGGTCCTTAAGATTGTCATTCTTATACAATATGTATTTCATCTTTAATAACCTGTCAAACATAACCATGAAATAAGTTATAAGGTGTACTGAACAAGAACTATATTTTCGGGATGCTATAGGTTTCCTGATTTCAGTTCGATCATTATTATTATGCTAGAAGAAATTCAAATTCTGAAACTGCATGATATAAATATATTAGTAGTTACATGTACATATAAATCATGTATAACAACTTCCAGATCGAACATAGGTCAAAACGCTGTAGTTGGGGGTCAATATTCAACAGGGTCAATTTTCAACGCGTTTATGTCATGAAGGCCAAAAAAAATAAATTACCAAGATGTTGAATAATGACCCCGGGCATAAATTCCACTACTTTTGGTCTCAATTTTCAACGTTGAAAAGTCACCCCAGGTTAAATAGTCAACGTTGAAAAATGAACCCCGGGTCAATTTTCAACCCGGGTCAAAATTCTACGTTACACCGGAACTAAATAAGCTGATAAAAAGCATTCTTGGAGGGAAATTTTCAGAGATCAAAAGGATTTCTGAGAAAAAAATCGATGGATTTTCGAAACGCTAAAGTAACGGCTGAATACAAAATATTTAAAAAATGGTAGTTTAAATAAAATCGATTCATAATATAGAGTTTTTAGCACCAAAACACGAAACGATGTATTTCTTGTTTTCATGTCTGATTCATGTTAAACCCTTTTGATAATTCTGAGTGAGATAAGCATGTAAATATTGAGGCTTTTAAGTACGTTGAAAATTTATATAAGAGAGCACAAATTATGAACTAAAGAGCAAAACCGTCATTTAATCCAAAACTCAATCTTAATATTCCAATTCATTACATGTCAAAAAAATTGAATAAAACTTAAGTAAGTAGTATAGTAATAAAAATATGCAAATGATTATAAACGTTACAATGTATGTCATTGTTTCTCTACATCTATAATTTCAAGCATTTAATTGAAAATTCTAGTCTAATAATATCATATATAATTTCTATAGTATGCATCTCTTTCTAGTGCAAATGCATGTATATAAACTACGCTCCATTCATTCAATATAGGAATGAAAGCATTTGAAAACAGACAAACAAACAAAAATTCATTTAACACACACAAAAAAAAGACAAAGGTTAAGCTATTTGTTCTTAATTAATGCATTGCGAACTAATATCATTAAACGAATAATGTATATGAAATTTCTCTTTCTAATAACATGGATGACCGTGTTTATATTTCTACCAAAAAATACAAGTCCCATTTATTCTGATGCTATATTCGTAGGTCACCAAACTACTGTGGAATCATTACATTTCGCGGTGGCTCAGTATTCGTGGAATTCGTGGGTACTCTTCATCCACGAATTTACATCCTGCACGAATTAATAAACTAGGGTTTCAAAGTCATATTTCCTTTTGTAGACATGAGTGAACACAAGAAATCACATCCCCTCGAACCTGTAAAATTTAGACAATCCACGAAAATTGGCTTTTTTGATGATTCCACAGTATAACCTATTCTACAACATAAGCATAACCGATACTTACACAACAGCTAAAATGTATATCACAGTAGCTGATGACAGCATTGTATTTGATACATTTTTCTAAAACAGGAACAAATCTCTCTAGCGGTGCAAATACTGTAGAAGCACGCGGACAAAAAATTTCCGCGGAAATTTGTCCAAGCGTACTTAAAGTTCATTTAAGGCATATAGTGACAATCTAACAAATCCGCTTTATTTTCTACCTGCTGATTGATTAGAAATTGTGATTCCGCGGAATTTTGACCCCGTGGAAAAAAGTATGTTTACAATAGAAATAGGTACAACAAACAGCATGACGTGCCGAATTTATACATTTTTAACGGACACATTCATACCCATTGATGCTAAATACAGATTTGACTGGCCCTGAATATCACAGTTGTTGATATCCGCACCGCGTTTAATAAGTTTGTTTACAACAGGATCATGGCCTTTCAAGTACGCTAGATCTAGAGCTGATCTTCCAAGAGTATCGCATTTATTGATGTCGGCACCGTGCTCAATAAGTTTTTGCACAACAGGAAGATGGCCTCTCCATGATGCTAGCATTAAAGGTGACTTATCTTTTATATCAACTCTGTTAATGTCGGCACCACGTTTCAATAATTTTTCAACAACAGGAGCATGACCTTCTAGTGATGCAAAATGCAGGGGTGTTAATCTATATTTATCGCATCGATCAAATTCAGCACCGTGCTGTATTAATGTACCTACAACGGACAAATGACCATTTTGTGATGCTAAATGCAAAGCATAAAGACCGCGTACATTACACTTATTGATGTCGGCATCGTGTTCAATAAGTTTTTCTACGACCGGAAGATGACCGTTTAATGACGCTAAATGTAAAGATGAGTGACCATTTGTATCACACTTATTGATGTCAGCACCGTGTTCAATGATATTTTCTACAACAGCAAGATGTCCTTCTAATGACGCTAAATGTAGAGGTGATTGACCATTAATATCATTTTTGTATACGTCAGCACCGTGTTCAATGAGTTTTTCTACAACAGGAAGATGTCCTGCTAATGACGCTAAATGTAGAGGTGTTTGATCATCAATATCATATTTGTTGATGTTTGCACCGTGTTCAACGAGTTTTTCTACAACAGCAAGATGTCCTTCTAATGACGCTAAATGAAGAGGTGATTGACCATCAATATCATTTTTGTTGATATCGGCACCGTGTTCAATAAGTATTTCTACAATACGGAGATGTCCTTCTAATGACGCTCGATATAGAGATGACTCACCACGAATGTCACTTTTGTTGATATCGGCGCTGTATTGTATAAGTTTTTCTACAACAGGAAGGTAACCATTCGATGAAGCTAAATAAAGAGGTGTCTTACCATTTAAATCAACCATGTTAATGTCGGACCCATTTGCCAATAATTTTTCTACAACATTAGCATTACCCTTTAATGAAGCTTTATGTAGAGGCGTAAGTTTATTTTCATCCAAGCGATCACATTCAGCTCCGTTCTGAATTAATGTTTCAACAACGGATAAATGTCCATTTTGTGACGATTGGTGTAGAGATGTCTGACCGTGAATATCACACTTGTTGACGTCGGCGCCCTGCTCAATAAGCTTTTCTACAACAAGAAGATGACCTTTCGATGATGCGAAATATAGAGGTGTCCTTCCACGAATATCATTCTTATTGATGTCTGCTCCATGGCTAATTAATTCTTGAACAACAGAAACATGACCTTCTAGTGACGCATAATGAAGAGGTGATATATCATTTTTATCATGAAAATAGCAAGAATCATGTAAAATTAATAATTCTACAACGGCCAAATGACCATGTTGTGATGCTACATGAAGAGATGATTGACCTTGAATATCACACATGTTGATGTCTGCACCTTGCTCAATAAGTTTTTCTACAACAGTAAGATGGCCTTTCCATGACGCTAAATACACAGATGACCTTGCCTTTATATCAACTCTGTTTATGTCGGCACCATGTTTTAATAATTTTTCAACAACAGGAGCATGACCTTTCAATGATGCTCTATGCAGAGGCGTTAATTTATTTTTATCGCAAAGATTACATTCAGCACCGTGCTGAATTAATTTATCTACAACGGACAAATGACCATTTTGTGATGCTAGGTGTAGAGATGACTGTCCGTAGATATCACACTTGTTGATGTCAACAACATACTTTCTCAAGTTTTCATCGACATGAATACGTCTTTCTGATGACGCAATATTTAGAGTAGATGTATTTTCATCATCTTCCAAATTGCAAGTACCGTGTCGAATTAATGTTTCTACAACAGAGAAATGACCAAATTGTGAGGCTAAAAGCAGAGATGACTGGTTTTTAAAGTCACACTTGTTTATGTCTGCACCGAATTCAATAAGTTTATCTACAACGGTAAGATGTCCCTTTGATGCCGCTATATGAAGAGGTGTTCGACCTTCAGTATTACATTTATTTATGCCAGCACCGTGTTCAATAAGTTTCTCGACAAAAGAACAATGGGCTTCGGAAGACGCTAGATAGAGTGATGATTGACCTTGAATATCATATTTGTTGATGTCAGCATCATGTTCAATAAGTTTTTCTACTACCAGTAGGTGACCTTTCCATGAAGCTAAGCACAGAGGTAACAGACCATGAATATCACACTTGTTTATGTCGGCTCCGTGTTCCATTAATTTTTCTACAACGGGAGTGTGGCCTTTCAATGATGCTCTATGCAGAGGCGTTAATTTATTTTTATCGCAAAGATCACATTCAGCACCATGCTGAATTAATGTATCTACAATGGACAAATGACCATTTTGTGACGCGAGATGTAGAGGAGACTGACCGTGAATATCACATTTGTTGATGTCGGCACCGTGCTCTATAAGTTTTCCTACAACTTGAAGATGACCTTTTGATGACGCTATAAATAAAGGTGACCGACCATGAATTTCACACTTGTTGATGTCAGCGCTGTTTTCAATCAGTTTTTCAACGACATCAACATGACCGAATCGCGACCCAAGATATAAAGGAGATATTTCGCTTTTGTTACAGTTGTTACAGTTAGCACCTAACTCAATCAATGTCGTTAGTGATTTGAGATCCCCATTTCTAGCTGGTGTCCACAAAGCAGGGTATAAACAAGTGTTGGCATTCAAATCTGCTCCATTTTTAACTAAATATTTTATAACGGTATGTTGCATTTTCAAGCATGCAGCAATCACCGGGGTTATGAATCTGTGTCGATTGCCCGATTGATTGACTTCTCCAACAGGCATTCTGTTTATATTTCCTTTCCCAATATTTCCTATGAAGAATTTAACCATTTCTAAATTCCCATTATAACACGCCAATACAAGTAATCTTACTTGTTCTTCCTGTGTAGATCCAAAAATGACATCTGTGACCCCGTGATGCTTTACCACAAAACTTGTTAAATGTTTCAGTAAATCGAAGTGACCGTAATAAATGATAAAACTGATAGCGCGTATTTCATAAATTTTCTGTTGGTCAATGCATTTAAGGCCAAGAAGAAGGTTCTGCCTTTCAAACTCTCTCTGTGCCATTGTTTCGTCATCCTCGTTTTCACTAAGTTTCTTTGAGTCAAGAATAACACTTTCGAAACATTCCTCTCTGGGTAATAAGAATGAAGATCTGACATCCTCATATGGTATTTTTGTCAACATTTTAATAAACTGCTTTTTGAAAACAGAATCTATTAAGGCTCTATTTAAAAATACATCATGTAATTTCCCGCTTTTTACATCGGCGTACAATCTTGTTGCAAGATTTTCATATTGGGACTTGTTAAGTTTGATACAGAGGTCGTCTCCAGTGTCTGCATTGTCTAAAACAACTTTGTTTGCAATGAAAGTACTATTCATATGCTCCAAAATTTGATCTGGAAACTGCTGTCCATAATGATAAGCAACAACTTCAAATATGGAGTCATGGGTAAATACATATTTTTTATCTTTTTCCGTAATATACGTACCTATTAGATGTGCCAATTGATCAATTATTTCCCAACTACGAGCCTTTTCCTTAACTTTGCAAGATCTGCAAACAATATCTAGCATTCTTTTGTCCTTTAACATTATTTCAGATAGACAGTTGTTGTTCAGCATGCAGAGAACAATTGATAAATATTGTAGTCTATTTCTTTTCTTAATTTTACCTATTTCTGAAAGCAAGCACTTATATGGATATTTAAAAAAGTGTGTTCCATATTTCCTGATGCTTTTATCACTGCTAAACACTTGGCAAAGAAGAGGAAACATAAATACTTTTTTTTCATGCAGAAGTTTTGGATCAATGACACATGTAATCCCTACATGAGACTCGAATATGCCATTACGATCTTCCGGTGTAAGACTGGTGCCTTTACTATCCAAACTGAGGATATTGCTTTCCTCAAAAAACAATACATCTAATTCCTTTGCCTCATTATAAACTGCTAATCTGCATGACATAAATAATTTGGATCTCTTTGCTTTCTTATCCAGAACATATTCAATTTGCTCACTATGTCTTTCTAAATCTGATAACAAATTTCTCTCTAAAGTTAACACGCCTAAAACGTCATCTATGATAAATATTTGAGATCTTTTGATGTCACCATAGTTGATGATATCCTCAGGTTTGGTGATCGGAACAATCTGATACTCGGTCTCCAGCTGTAAAGCGATGTGGCGGATCAAAGCAGTTTTCCCAGACCCAGGAGACCCAATCACAGCGACAATTTGATGGGAAATAAAAAAGTCCTTAACGTCTTTATAAAATGAAGTTTCATAAAAGACGTCTTTCTCCCAGGATTGTAATATTCGTTTGTGTTGATCTGAAAATTAAAATATTTTGTTGCAATAAATTCTCAATACATTATTTTTTTAATGCAAAAATGAATTCTTAAATACTTGATGTATTTCATCATTCTTCGACTTGTGAGTTGTCCATTCGTATACATTCCAATAGATAAAAACAATTTGTGACAGGAATTGACAGAAAATGTGTAACCCCCAGCTTTATAAGAGAACACCCCCTCTACAAAAATGAATTAATAATTTTAACGTAAATCGCGGGTTTGCAGACCTTTTAAAAGTGTACGAAAACATACCATAAAAATTAGCTATATGATTCCTCTACCTTAGTTTTACATTCTCTGAAAATTTTATAAAATTCGTCTGCATCGTTTTTATTTAATTAAATCCCAAAGATGTCATTGTTGTAGTTACATTTTCGACGTTATTGTATTGAATTATATAGGAAAAACGTCGATTTCGGCTCGTTTTCAGGCAAGATTTTTTTCCCCAAAAAATATCATTAACTTTAAAATGGTGTAGACGAAATTGTTCCCCCTTTGATATCTTAAAATAGAATTGATTTGAAATAAATCTATGTGAAAAAATTAATATGTCTTTGGATTTGTTTTCTCGTAATTTAAATGTAGATAATTGCTTTTTTATCGCAAAATTTAACATTTTTAAGAACTACGTCATAAAATATTTCGACGTCACGCTTGATGTCGTGAATATCGATCCGGTATACAGAGCAAAAAAAAACAAATCATTTTTAATTCACGTCTTTCTGCTTTCATATGACCCACGAATCGTATCATAATAATTCAATAGCAATGAAATGATTATTAGACATGTTTCTCTTCTAATATTCTTTGTACGTCTCATATTAGTGAAAATTAACTCAAGGGACGTAAAACGACAATCAGTTCTTTAGTTTCTTTCTTTCAATGTATTTTCTTTATGTGTTGTTTTCTTACCGTTTCTTTTCTTTTTGTTTTGTTTTCTTTTTCGTAGAAAAGTATCCTACATTGGCTGTGTATTTTTTCAGCGTGCTGGCGGAAAACAATTATCCTCTTATTCAAGTATACACATAAAATGTTTTTATTTAGAACATTCAGCAATGCGCTCATAGCTACGATAACTTCTTAATGAATGAATTTCCGCCAAATATCGTCCCGGCTAAATACATTGTATTTTCAGTATATATCCAAAAAATATTTATTTTTACATACAGACAGCGAATAACTAAAAAAAATCTTAACTTGATTTTACGATTATGCGTATAATAGAAAAAAAACCAAACGAGCGAGACATTTTTAGAGGGGTAAATGGCACGAGAATCTAAAAGTTAATTTTATCTGACGTAATCAACAGGCAGATTTTTTTTTGTTTCAAGACTTTCAATGTATATAACATTAATTCGACTGGTTGGACATGAAAAGCATAGTAGCGAATAAAATCTGTAGATAACAGCATTGTAAGCCGTTACTTACACAGGCACTTGGGGTATTGACCCCCCCCCCCTTTCCATTTTTTATTTTCTTTTTAAACCTGGGGTCGAGTCACCTTTCCTATTTTTTAATTCTAATATGTACTATATGGTATCAATAATGTAACCCTTTTGTCTCTATAAGCTGTTTTTAAATATATCGTTTTCCACTGATACATAAAAATGCCCCCTTCTATTTTTTTCTTTTTAAATCTGGGATCGAGTCACCTTTTTCCTATTTTTGTATTCTAACATGTACTATATGCTATCAATAATGTAACCCTTTTGTCTCTATAAGCTTCGCATGATTATTTATCTAAAGCATAAGAAAACATGAAATATGCAGACATCAATATTTTTTTTTTACACATTCGTCTTCCGTTTCATATTTCCATTTAATTTTCATGTGCCCCCGATTAGTAAATATTTCGATTAAATCACCCGCATCTAAGGGCGTCTTTACGGCCTAAGAGTAAATTGTCGGTATTAGAATACAAAAATAGGAAAAAGGTGAATAGACCACAGATTTACTTACAAGAGATCAGTGTCGCTCAAAAAATGTATTAGTTTATGTTTCATAGTACCTTAATTTGTGATAAACCTTTGAATATATTTTTAAAATGTTCATTTTAAAAATAAAGGTTAAACTTTTAATGTAATAGCTGTATTTGCGATTGTTTATATAATGATTTCTTTATTAATTAAACAAACTGTTAATTCAAACACGTTCAAAGGAAAAGAGGTCAGTTGAAACTTGTGCCCATATCGTTTCGCGATACAATGTGATATCTAGTAATCAATCGCAATTTCGCGGACCATTCCGACAAGCTGAAAATTCCGAGCTCTCCGGGATGCGATTGATAACACATAATGAAACGCTTTCTAATACTTCCAGTGTTGGATTCGAATCGCAATAAGCCCTCATTATATTTGATAACTTCAGTTTGTTCTATACATAATATTACACTAAACTACAATTTCCAACAAAAGTTATATCTAAATATTGTATCGACTATTCAAATCGTAAAAAGCCTTCATTATTTGTGATAAGTTGTGCCTTAAATAATAAAACAATAAAATACCAATTCCAACAAAAGTTATAGCTACTGAAATTTCTTTTTCATTGTGATGTCATAATCAAATGTGCACAAGAAAGTCGCCCAAACCATATAAATTGCGTACCCAGTTTTAATGACGTCAGCAAACCCGCGACCTACGTTAAGTACTAATTACATTTGAAATATCTTTAAGCAAAATTATTCAAAAACCAGTTGTACATGCATGTTTGATGAACACCAATTTTTGCACAAGAATTTTTTTAACAGTGCAAAATGAACTTGAGCAAACATTTAGCAGTTGTATACTTTCTGTCAAGTAAAATTTATTCCTGCCCTCTCAAAGGCATTGATATAAAAAAGATTAGTTACATTTCATTATAATGGAGTCTGGCTTTTCAGACTTAATTTTTATAAATATCTCTTTTGCTTCAATTTTTTATTAATTTTATTACTTATAGTAATTGTTTCACAAAGGCAAATTATTTCGGCAGATCGCTTGAATCGAATTTTATGTCCGTTGCTGTGGGTTGCAGTAAGCAATTAATATACAAATTTTGTCTTTTATATAAAATAATTTTATTATATATCTCCTGTTATTAATTTATATAAAGATGGATATCATAAAACTGTCTATTTCATTGAGAATGCACTACTTCCCCTGTAAAATCAGAACTACTCCCCGGAACTAACCTCTCATCAATATTCATTAATATTTTTAACCAATCAAATGCTCAGTGGTTGGAGAGTTCAAGGAATCTCGAGTCTGTGAACATATATTAGTAGCAATGTAACAATGATCTCAAAATATTTCGACATGCGATGTCATAATCACACTGGAGTTATAGCTAAATGAGGAGCAAGACAATTCTTTAAAATTTCGTTGAAATTATTTTATTTTTTACACGTTATTATTTTCATCGATATTAATGCATTAGATATCTAGCAAAAGTTTAGTTACGTGTATCCATTCTTATTTGAATGCCTCTATATAGTCTAAAAATGTCTGAGTATCTGGTTAAATAAATCTTCGTAGATTTTTTCGGAGTTATAACTGGATCAATTCCAATTATGGAATAGGTACTCAGGAAATAGCAAATTTTGGCAGGAAACTATTTCCCTCGGCAACTTCGCTTTGAAAATATTTTCCTGCCTCGGGGAACCATAAATTTGCTATTCCTTCATACCGATTCCATAACTGTATAATATATGAAGTATGTGATGAATATTGTCTTCATACTTGGAATAGTTTTATTTTTCGAGACTTTGACACTGTTTGGAAGACATACAATGATAATCTTTTGTTATCTTTTCGTTACTTTGTGGTGTAGATTTATATAATAGTTAAATGATGAAAACGTCTAGTCACTCTTCATAAATATCTACATAATTATCGTACAAGTGGTGGCAGAAATATACCACCATAATCTAAAACATTTTATCAACATAACAATTACTTTCTCCGAAGAGCCTGACTACGTCTCGTTGACAGGTGTGGATCATCAGATACAACTCGACACTTCGATTCTGCATCTGACATCTCGACCTTATCTGGCTCTTTGTACAAAGTTACTACTATGATTTTTATGTTAGAAAAAATACCTCTGACGTTTTCTGGAAGACAAGATGATTTTGGATGCTCATTCAGAAGTTCTGTCTGTCGCAGTGAAGACATCTTCAATTCTTCCTCAAGACTGGTTTGCCTTGCTGCAAATCGAAAATTGCATAATGTAATGTAGTCTGACTTTAAAAATGTGACAACGACTACTTAATTACTAAATTACACATTCACACTTGCATTTGCATACAACAATATAACTATCAATCTCTATAAGACCCCCACCTTCACCAACACCTCAACCCAAAGAAAATTAAAGCTCAGATTTTCGTGATTTAGCTGAGTGATAAGAGTGATCAAACTGTCCCTGTTGTTTAACCACTTGTCTTGTTTTTGCTCCAGCGAAATTTTTGAGTTGTAAAAAGTAAGTAAATTGGAATTTAAAATAGAAAGAGTGTGATTTCAAATTTAAACACAATTTGCAGTTGTTGATGAAACAGAAAAAAATGAACAGAATAACAATTTATCCCATGTTTACCCCTTCATCCCGTGGATATGACTCATTGGATAATTTTTTCATATTCCACAGTTAAGTGCAGTTGTGACGTCACAATGGTTTTTGCGTTAGAGTGATGAAGTAGAATAAAGTGGAGTCCTATATAAAACAGCGTTAAACATTGGTTGTGAAGTATTAAACATGGGATAAAAAGAACCTCCCATGATTTGTAGTTGGATATGACTTTTATCCAACTCGTTGTGTGTTTTTATCCCCTCGCCAAGGCTCGGGGATGAAAAACACACAACTCGTTGGATAAAAATCATATCCAACTACAAATCATGGGAGATCCTATATTTATTATTTAAATGTTTTTGTATTTGTTCCTGTCTCGGGAAAATATGTAGAGGAGTTCATTAATATTTATAAGGCTTTAAGCACTTTGTGGTGTTATGATGTACATTACATTTATTCAAGATAGTGCAATAAATAGTACACACTATGTAAATGTATCAATTTTTTGACACGTATTACATCTGTCGATCTTAAAATGTATTTCTTTAATGAATAGAGTTATTGTATGTTGTTTTACGTCCAGTTTGAGAATTTTTCATTCCTATAGATACATCATGATATCGGTGAAGGGTTTTTAAGATCTCATTCGAAGGACCCACAAACTTTCACTTCAAAGTACCGAGCACTTGGCAAAGGAATAGTTGTTACTTATTTTTCTATCGACTTAGGTCAGTCGCGTCCGGGATTTGAACTTACGACCTTTCAATCACGGAACAAGCGCTCTACCTGCAATGCTACAGTGACGATTTTAATGATATGGAAAACAAAGGAGTGTAATTTACTAAGTATCAAATGTTTAAAAATATAACACTTACTTATTAATTTTATCAGGAACGTTAATGTTGACAACTTAAACAAACGGTCACGTTACACGTACATGTACGATTCCGAACGATTAAATAATATTAAACGAATAGACCCGTTACACGAACGATCCTTCACGCACACGATTCTACACGTAACACGGACGGTCACGATTGCTAACGCAAACGCACGATTCTTCAAGCAAAATATTCAGAAATATTTAGGAATGTACGTTTCCGCAACGAAATAAGACTAAAAAAATATTTTAAATTACAAATATATATTTATGTAATTCATAGTTGTCAACAAAGGAAAACTAGAATGTGTGATTTTTATTTTGTTTTAAACCTATTTTAAAGAGATTTTAGTAAAGACTCTACATAATGTACTGCGATTACTTTACTAAATTTTTACTTGCTCTGTGATGTTTTTGGACTTTTTAATTTGAATTAATTTCGAAATTCATCAAGACATACTTAATTGTTTAAATTCGAATTATTTTGACTAATTGTTGAAATATTTCTATCTAATTTGTATATAATTATAATCTGACGTTACAAAAAGTTATGGAAAAGTCTACGTATTTTTGAATTACCCTCGTATATCATGAAACAAGTTAATTAATCAATAGATAAAACAATAAATATCAATTTGAATGCTCATTTTTAAACATAAAGTTGATTGGCATGGGAAGTACATGTAAAAGGGGGTCAGAAATTGCTATGTCCTCAGCATCGACGAAGATTGTTGGCATATTTAAGGTCTTCCGTTTCAGACGGAATACCTTATAGTACTTTAACGCTTTATTATTATTGTTTCCCCTTTTTTGTCTGCACAGTTTCTCAAAGATGGTTCCCAGAATTTCCCTGAAACCTACAGGTGTAGTAGACAATAATAATAATATCTTTTGACAAGTTTTCATAAAAAAAAAATCTTAAGCTCTAGAGATATGACCGGCTTCCGAATTTTTTTTTGTCCGAGCAAGATCTTAAAAACAGTTAAAGATTAAGACAACAATCTTATATAAGTAACTGACTTTGAGGAATAGGTGATCTCATTTGGGTTAAGCTCGTCAGTCGTCATTTCCGGTCGTCACATGTAGTGATCGAAAATATCGAAAATTTCAACATTTCTGATTTTTATAAAACTTTCATCACATAATTGCATCTCTTTTGCAATTTCGTAATATGTTGGTACCAACAGATACAAAAAACACAACTTCCGGTTTTAAGAGAGCAACTAGGTAATTTGGGTTTTTAACTTTCCCAGAAAATCGCTTGTAGATAACGGTATTAGAAAAGATCACTAATTGAGTTCTGCAAGACAATAAGCACATTATCAGATATTGTCATAGTTTCTCTGTAAAACATATGTCACAACCGTAATTATCTGATACTCTTTTTAAATAATGGGTCAGACAGCTGTTGGGTTTGATATATATTTCACTTACATGGTAAGATTAAAGGTGACCTGTAACAATGACAGTAATGAAAATAAATGAATACACTCTCATACCTATACACGCACACATTAAATTATTTTAGAACACTTTAACGTTTCCGATGTATTATCTTAAAGTAGATAATTAATTGAGAAGGTATTTAATTTATTCAAAGCAAGCAGTGGTAAAAGTTCTTACCGAATAGACAGTTATTTAATTGTCCTCATTATTATATGGAAAACTTTATGGAGAAGGAGAGGAATTCTTCCTTACTCCTGGCTGTCCTAGGGTGGAGTTAATTAGTTAAGTAATTGGGGCAAAACATGCGCAGCTGGTACCAAACTGGTAAAACACTCACACATTCCTCACTCTAAAATATCATTCAATTCTACAACTCCAAGCCGGTAAACCAATAGGGTTTAGCATGCACATTTTTTCTGAACAAATTTAACTTGGATTATATTCTTAACATAATTATCTTACCTATTGATAGTGAACTTATAGTGACAGTAAAATAAAATAAAAGTTTGTTAAACGGGGATGTACACTGTTTGTGTACCACGTGCAATGATTTTATAAGTGGAAAAGAGACTTTAACATGAAATATATGGAGAAAACGAACAGTATTCAAGCTCGAAAATCCATTAAACATTACAAAATAGGTGCAGAGCAAACACTGATCTCCAAAACATCAGACGTGGGATCAGGTGCCATGGAGGGGTAAGCATCCCCTGCCGACCGGTCACACCCACCGTGTGCTCATTGTCATGATTGGAAATATCGGAAAAAACCGTCGACAATTCAGTGTGTAAACAATGACCTAACAATTAATATGAAAAACGTCAGTCAGCACTTGACTCAATGATAAATTGTATTTGCTGAAAATGTCATTGTATTGACCATAGAACTCACGAAATGATGACTTTAAACGAGGCTACTGATATTCTTGTTTCACCAACTTGTTTGTCAATAATTTACCTCGTTTTAGAAATTGTATATACGTAGAGCATACTCTTGCGTATCGAATCAACTAAGAGATATAAACCCCGTATGCAGGTGATGAAGGTATATTGCTGCATAAGTAAGGTATGTTGGCGATTGAAAAGTTAAAGTCATTACGTTTATTTTAAAGCTTGGTTGTTAGATTACCATTAACGTCTTTTTCAAGTAAAATATCCAAATATGAAACAGATGTGTCAGACTTTGTAGTATCTTTTATCTCAAGCTCACCGGGATATATCGTATCGACATAAGAATGGAAATAACAATTGTTAATTGACAATACGTCGTCCATATATCTAAATGTCGAGTTGAAGGCCACAGCAAGTGTTTTCTTCTTATCAGATATAAGATTTAGGACAAATTCTGCTTCATATGAAAACAAAAAAAGGTCTGCTAATCTGCTAATAACGGGGCGCAATGGTACCCATGGGAATTCCAATAGATTGTTGGAAGACCTGGTCTCCAAAAACCCATAGATATTGTCAACCTGAAACTCAAGCATCTTTTTAATGTCAACTTCAGAGTACTTGTGTGTACAATCAGAATGTTTTTTAACAAAATAATTTTGCAAATGACCAATGACAAGCTAAGTAAATCTACAAGTTCCATTTTTATTGAAAAAGCAGCTGTCAACCATATCAAAAAGCCTGTATTTTAATTTATCGTGGGGAATGTTTATGTATAAAGTTGAAAAGTCGTAAGTTTTTAAGCTGTTGATTTTGGTAAAATCTTGTGATTTCAAATTTTCCAAAAGTTCCTTGGAATTTTAAGTATCATGAACTATAATTATATTATTAGAACAAATTGGTTGTTGTTATTGGTACACAGAACTATAATTTTGAAAATTCATTTGTAATGGAATTGATCAGAATAGACCAATCAAGCCCATCGATACTAAGTAATAAAATTTGAAGGGAAATGTCAAGTTACTATTAAGATTCTTGATTAAGAGTAATAAAATTGGGAACTTTAAAACAGATAAGTAAAAGAGCTTAGGGCTAGAACTCCTGTGGTGCAGAGGTGGGGACTGAGTCCATAAATATTATTAATGAAGGTATACCTGGATTGGAGAATGGTGCCATGTCGGGGTTCATAGGTCAGTGGACAGACCTACGGACTAAGCGTAGGTGGTACGGCAATGTTAAGACAGCCAATGAAAAGTATTTTTGTATCCAGGACCATGAATACCCCCTGAGTACAAAATACCCTGTTTTGCCGGAAAACGGCATTATTACTCTTCTTTTCTACTTTATCCTCCTTTCTTTCGACTATTCATTAGGCATTTACAATTTGGACTCCAATTTTTTGGACCTCACCTTAATTATTACTTTTGGAGTTTAGTTGTACGCTCTTCTGAAATATGTGGAACGGATCTTTAAGACTTTTGCTACCACCAGTGTATTATTGGTCTACTCTGATAAAATTTCAGAATCAAGCATTTAAAAATCTATACGATCATGGTAGTTTAATAAACTTTTCAAAAAAACTAATAAACTTACAAATTTTGTTGTTGGCTTAAAAGCCTCACCCATTCTGAAAAACACATCTGACCTTTCACACTCCCAATCAACCAATAAGCATTCAACAGCATGAGTATATGAATGAGATACCTATGAATGAACACGCAGTAATTTCCAGAGGACTGTATTTTACTATGCTTTTTTTAAAAAATGAAAACGATGTTGAAGATTATGAAATGATGATTAGTAGATTCGGTCATTAAATATTCAATCATATTTAATATTTATTAGAATAATAATTTATTCATCCTGTGACACGTAAAAAAATAAGTCCGTTTCTGGCTTACAAGTATTAGTGAAAGAACTGGTCAGTTAGTAACCAGACACGCGGAAAGCATGATGGAGGGAATTAGACTTAATAAGGTGTGTTTGCTTTTTTACGTTATCCTTTCTCTTTAATCATATGCGATATAAAGGAAACCTTTTTTTCTCTCAAGATGAATCATATGTATAAACAGTTTGCATATTGTAGAGTATATTTTGATTAGAAGGAGGTTATGTTAGAGGGAATTGTACGTCGATGCTTTCGTAATCAAACTCTTCAAAAGCGGCATTATGAATTCCCTAAACAAATCCTTGATGATTAGTAATAATAACAATACAGATTCATTCTCATGTACTATAGATTCAAGATTGTTCAAAGCATGACCCCCGAGGATAGGGAGGGGCCACACTAGGGGATCAAATTTAGACAAAGGAATATATAGGAAAGATCATTTAATTCCCTTTCTTAAAAACAGCAAAGCCATGTGACAATGTGACCATATTAATCCTTAGATAGTAAAGATTCAAGATTGTTCAAATCAATCAATGACCCCTGGCGTAAGATAAAACTTATAAGAAATAATCTCTAAAAATCTTCTAAAGCCATGATTAGTTAAAGAAATATGAAAGCATCCTAAGTAAGTGTGGATTAAAGTTTGTTCAAATCATGCCCCCTCCCTCATCTTCGCAAACAACGGCCAAAATGTACGATCCTCTCCCATTCTGGCCATGGATGCATGAGAGGAGAAAATTTCGAAGCTCATTAAAATATTGAGCGATGCGAATAAAGCATACTCGGAAAATAACCTTTGATCATGAAAAATAAGATTATACACCTTATTTTAAATAACTTAAAGACGAAACCAGGAGTAAAAATATGTTTTAGTCTTATGCGTAGGTTCTTTAGTGAAAAGGGGCCTGGAGTATACATTTTATTTAATACTTGTAGGTATCTAACCTTCGATATGACTTATCTTGCTTGCTGTTTCCTCATGGTAACTTTCAATGTTTTCTGAAATAAAATAGTTTTCTATTAGTGAACTGAAATGTTGGTCATAATGTTTTCAAATCAACAACAAAGCAAGAAATGCATATAATAATAAAATTTTAATTCATTGTTTTTTTTTTGTTTTTTTTACCCACTTGACAGGATATTTGATAAAACAGATACACGACGAAAAGCATATTTTTCTGAACTCTTTTTACACACAAAACAAACTTTAAATACCCACAAAAGCATTAATGCTTGGAGTAATTCTCTTCATCATTGTCAATTTTCGAGGATAAAATATTAAACTTTTCAGCAATAACTTTTTTTCATGTATTGAAGGTTTTGTAACAAGAATTATAATTATGCATCGCATGACTAAACAGACAGTGGATAAGGGGATCTATGATGTTATTAATTCTAATATCTTAGTTGCATGCTTTCTTACCAAGTAATTCTAGATACTACGATAGAAATCTGCGTTAATGTAGGAAAGGAGGGATAAAAACTTGCAAGATCACAACTCAAAGGACATGGCACCTACTGCCTTACGAAAATCACATTCTATTCAATTGGTTTATTCCTCTTAGGCACCTCATCCCACCTGATACCACCTCTGGAATTTCCAGGGCTCTGTGTTTCAAGCACTATTCACAAATTTGCATTGTTTGTAGATTTTTAGGAGATCGATCACGCGATCCAGTAATAATGACGATAAAAGATATAGGTCTACAGGTGGGATCTGTACAGTGAAATACTTTGAACAGTGAAAACGTTCAAATTTTATAGATTTTATAGGCCGAAGAAATATAGAAGAACGGAGAGAAATATGACAGACAAGGATGAAAATCTACCTTTTATAACTTTAGAATAGATTTATTACTGTTTATTACCACTTCATCCATTTCAGACTTAAGGTTAATTTATTATCATATTCAAACAAACAAATTAGTCTTCTGTCCACAATAATTACTACACAGGGAAAAGTGGCTCGCATGAATTTCATATGAAATTCGCATGAATATCATGCGAATTCTTCGCATGAGAAGGAGACGAAAAGGACCACGCATGATATTCGCACGAAAATATCATGCAATTTTCACATGAAATTCACACGAATATCATGCGAAAAGAAAATCGCACGAAATTCATGTGAAAAAAAAGAAACTAGGTTTCATATGAATATCATGCGAAGACAAGCATATTTTTTGTACCCCAGATATTAATATCAAGCTATTATCTATGAGTGCACCAAACCTAATCCATTAATTCTATCCTTCTTCCTTGGAAACAGAATTTTTGCTTCTTGCAAATGAAGTTTTCTTGAAAAATTCTCTTTTTCTTACTTAGTCAGTTAATCCAGACACAAGTAATGCATGATTATACAAAAAGTAACTTTGAATTTGAAAGAATCAAAACTTGTTTTCTGGACTCCCTGACTAAATAAAGACATCTGTGACATCAATTTCTACATTGAAAACTAAAACAATTGATCTTTTTCTATCTTCTTTATTGAGGTTCTCATCACATAAGATATCTTTATCTTGAGGATTCTGTTGAGAGGGTGTTGTCGTTATAGCTGAAAATACAAAAGTAAACAATCTCAGGTTATTGAAATTCATAATGAACAATATTTTTTTTAAAATTAACTATGACTACCCTAGGCCCTTAAGTAGGATTAATACCTCTTGGTCATAATCACCTGTATGCCAAGTATGTTCTCCAGATACTACTCCAATAAAAAGTTGCATTTTCTGAGATACTTCTATCAACTCTATGACCTTGACCTTGTCTTATGACCTCTGTTCTGGAAATGGCATATCTTATGATCATTATCAACCATTAGGGCAGTATGATCTTTGGGAGTTACTTTTTTCAATATACAATGAATTTAAACTTCAATTCCTGTTACCTCTACATTGCTTAAATGACCAACAGCCAGGGTTGTTTCACTGCCTCTAGTCATAATTAAGCAACCTTAAAAACATATCTATTTCAATTAACCTATGTTAGTCTTGGGATATACCTTTGAGTCACAGGCGAGTTTTGTCTCAGGTATGTCTACTGTGTTTCCATTATAGAGTTGTGAATGAAAATAATTTAATACATTTGTACCCTTTTGACCTTGAACATATCTAAAATGCCCTTGGTACTGGGTAAAGACTCATCTCTGGATACAAGCTACCTTTCTATCAGTTATGAGCCTAAGATTGTTTTCTTGGTTACAAATTCATGTTCAAATAAGAATTTTATTCTCTTATTCCTCTTTTTAAAAGTTTGACAAATCAGTCTGTAAATTCCTGTTACCAGTTAGTTCATATATAATTACAAAGTGTAGGGAAAAAACAAGATGTGTTTGTGAAACACTGATGCCCCCGTATGGCAGCTTATGGCGAAGGTTAAACTTTCTCAAATGCAAGTCAAACTGCAAAGTCGAAAGATCAAAAATGCCCAAGCACCAACCATTCAAAAGTTATGGTCAAGGTTAATGTTTTCTGAAAGAGGGCCAAACTCCAAGGTCAAGGTCAAAGGGTCAAAATTAATGGTATTCAGGGGGAAGACCTTGTCATAAGAAATATACATGCAGAATATAAAAGCCCTGGCACCAACACTTCAAAAGTTATGGTTAAAGTTTTTCAAAAGTAGGTCAAACTCAAAGGGCAAGGTCAAAATTGTTGATACCCAAAGGAAGGTCTTGTCACAAGGAATACACCTGTGAAATTTGAAAGCCCTAATACTAACTATTCAAAAGTTATGGCCAAGGTTAAAGTTTTTTAAAAGTGGATCAAAAGTTATGACCAAGGTTAAAATTTTTTAAAAGTGGGTCAAACTCTAAGGTCAAGGTCAAAAAGTCAAAAATATTTACACCCAAGGAAAGGTCTTGTCAGGATAAATACACATGTGAAATCTGAAAGCCCTAGCACCAACTGTTCAAAAGTTATGGCCAAGGTTAAAGTTGGGTAAATTTTTACAAAAGTGGGTCAAACTCCAAGGTCAAGGTCAAATATGTTGGTACCAAAAGGAAGGTCTAGTCAATGAATACACATGTGAACTATGGACGGACGGGGCAAAAACTTATATACCCACGACTCTTCGATTACCAGGGCATTATTATAAAGTGGTTTAAAAGATAATTTCCAGACAAAACATGTCTACAGACAGACAAACAGACATGGTGATTCCAGGACACCCTTACAACTTCTTTGTAGGAGCTAGTATATAATTTCATTGTATTATTTTTATTGTATTTTCATGGGCAAAAAAGTTTTAGCTTTTACCAATAATATATGGCCCAGTGATCTTGACTTTT